CTGTCGACTCCTGCGACACAACTCCACAAACTGAATTAATCACGCTTTGCTTGCTGCAGCCAGCCACCGCACTGCCATTCTCACTACCATCTTGTAAAAATAATTGCCTTTGCTCACAAATAATTAACACGTCGTAGCTGTGACAAACGTTCTATATTACCATCGGCCAGTCCCACACAAGCATATATGTCAGACCACAGTATATTAGTAAGCACCCTAACATTCTCCACTTTAGAAGATTAATCAACAATTGTATCATCAATATCAAATATTGGCTTCAAACAAGCACCTTTTGTCCACCGATCCACCAAATACCTCGAAGGAATGCTCTCAAGACCACGATCTTTAAAAACAAAAAAAATATGCCTACACAACAACCCCATCCGCTCAAACATCTTGCAAGAACAAGTAGCAGTATAATCAGACAAAACAAGCTCCACACACCATGGCCGTTGGTCACCATCTTTTATCACATAAGACACATGATCATCACAATCGCACAAAGATGCCACTCGACACGAAAAGCAAGCTGCACAAATCTCTACTTGAACATCATAAAATACAGAAATGGTTTAAACATCCATTGCATGCTTTTCCAAAGCCAATGGTGTCTTCAAAACAGGAAAACAATATTCACAATCAGCATTCAGTTTTGCTTGAGTATGACGTTGTGCACCAATAGCACTGCCAAAATGCACCAAAAACTCAACCAAACTAGAATGACCATTAGAGAAACTGCCAAAAAAACTATTTTGAGATTCTGAACAAGAAGTTGTCCTAACCAAGCCCGACATAAACTCGTCATGAAAATATGGAGATGCCCAAAATGTACGAGAGTCGAACAAATAACGAAACCAACCATTATCACCCAAACCATATTCCTCCATAATATGACTCCATGCATCATCAAAAGCCTTGGAGTCAAGAGATTTTTTCCAAACAATGCCATTCAACTTCCTCCGAAACACCTCGTCTTTAGACAAAACCGGTCCAACCTTCTCACCAACCTTGCACATTATATGCCACATGCAAAATCTATGTTTTGATGTACCAAACACACGAGTAACAGCAACCTTGACAGCTGGATCTTAATCAGTGACAACACAAATAGGGTCATGGCGCATAGTTTTCTTAAATTTCTCCAAAAGCCACACATATGAATCTACATCTTCCCTTGTAAGCAAACCAGCACCAAAGGTGATGGATCTCTTATGGTTATCAATTCCAGTAAATGGAACAAAAACCAACTTATACCTACATAATGGACAACACAACCAATACTTATCACCAGCATCCTAACAAAATACACTATAAAACCCAAACATATGCACCATAATCATTTACAAAATGCACAATAAACACAAACTACTAACCTGTTAGTACGATATGTAGCATCAAATGAAACCACATCACCAAACAAAGCAAAGTTCTTCCTAGATACTGCATCAGCCCAAAAAACCCTTGGAAGTTAATCACCGTCGTCAACATCATATTCAAAATCAAAAGCCTCACACAATTCACGCCTCTTGAAAAGCGTATCTATGAATAATTGAGCATCACCATTTAATATGTACGCCATCAAATCACGTTTGAAATTCTTAAAATCCACACCTGTAGCACCAACACTAGAATAATCACCTATAATCTCCTTAAACAACCTATATGATCGAACAGAACCAATATTTGCCCGAAAACAACTCGCAATGAACATTTGGTGTCCAGCATCAAGACTGCGATTCACCTTTAAAAACTGCTTAGCAATAATTGAACACATCAAATGAGTGTGGCGTTCCTCCAGAAAATACACACTATACAAACCATTAGACTTGAGCTTATAGACCACCCTAGCCTTACACCCAACCCTATTTGTCACCCTCCATCTCGTGACCTTATTAGTTTTAGCATCAACCGAAATAGTGTGCTTAAACCCCTCATGACTGCATAACACATGCTTCTCCACAACAACGCCATCCCTCCTCTTCCGAGTTGAGCCCTTCCTACAATCAAGACCAACAGCCCCAGCAAATTGTTTATAAAAAGCAATAGCACCATCCAAAGAATCAAATTTTTGCCCCACATGAGGCTTCAAACTGTCAGCACAAACTAGGCGCCAATACTTGGTCAACCCAGGAGAAATTTCCAAATCACATACACTGCCTCCTACCCCAACATCAGTGGAATAGTCTTCATTGCAACAACCACCATTGCCTTCAATACCAACATCAGTGGAATTACCTTCATTGCAACCCCCATCACTGCCTTCTACACAAACATCAGAGGACTTAACTTCATCGCAACCACCATTACCTTCTACACCAACAGAGTCCAAATTAAGTTCATCACAACCACCAACATCAGTTGAATAAACTTTATCGCAAACACCACCAACAGAGTCCAAATTGACAGCTTCACACGACAAGATACCTAATAACACACCAAATTTAATCCAGTAACACACAAATACACTACCTAGATGCAACATACATACGCAAATCTGAAA